ACACTGAAATGCACATGACTTATACAAACAACAAAGAACCTTATTTGAATTTAAATGAACAGCATGGGACAAAAAATGAACACAGGGGACTTGTAAATTTACAAAATGCACTATGGGCTTGAACCTGAACAATACAAATAGAGGATATGAACTTGAACAAAAATAACATGGAACTGAATATTAAAACATTAAACGTATAATCATAATAAAAGTGTGAATACTAAAAAACAGCCCGAGTCATTTAAATGAATGTTGATGAACAAGCAAATGATAAATAGTGAACAAGCTACTCAATGCAGAACACTTAAGTTAAAATAACTTAGAACATTGAACTTAATTAACATGCAATGAATACAGCGAAGCCCTTTCCTATGGATGAATATAACAGTTTCCTGGGGACAACGACAACCGACATGCAATGGTTACGATAATTCCTTCATACAAATGAGGCAGGCCATCTACAAGCAAAGGAGGGCAATATACAGTGAACATATTGAAGCTTCTTACAAGCAATAATGCAAGACTTCCAATAGATGTTAAAGGGTATCATTGCCAGTTGAAATGCATGCAATGATACAATGCTTTTAAATGAATATTAAAGAATTGTAAGAATGTTTGAAGTACAAGTAACAATGAACAAAATTATGGCATGGACCACAAACTTTTTTTAAAGATATTGAAAGGCTCGCAATCGTTGATATGGCTCATCTATAAGTCATAATCAACGAAAACTGATGACATACTTGCAAACCATAATGTGAAACTTTTAATGGATAGTGTGACTCATTCATGTAGAGCACACTAGTTGAGATATGAATGCCAACGAGCAATGAAGGAATTAGCAGCAAATATAGCTCAACTGGTGGTGAACAGCCATTTGCAGATGAACATAACGACTTGCATGCAAATGATGATAGGGGATAGGTTGTGAATATAAGGAATCACTTGTGCACATAGGTACATATGTGACATGTTACTTACAAGCAAGAATGAAGGCCCACAATGCATACAGATAATTACAAACAAAAGTAGAAGACATTTCATGCATATAGTAATCCACCCACAGGTACGACGAACGATATGCAATAAATGTCAAGATGCTTCTACAGCCAGCAACAACAAACATATTGCAAGGACGGCTGGCCCTCGATGAATACAGATATATGTACAATGTATTATCTGCGGTCAAAGGGAACATGCCTGCAACACATATAAAGCAACACCCACAAGTTATCTTAGTAAGAGGTGGTGAATACTACAACATTCTCACAGTCAATAAACACTCAATGAAAGGCAAATGCACAGATCTCTTACAAATGAAGACAGATGACATGTAGCAAATGCAAGTGTATAGCGGGTTAGTGTCTACGGGCCCTTGTAGGAGACCCGCCATACACATCAAATGTCATCTACGAGCAAAATGTCAAATGACTGCTGCAAATGTAAATGCCTACGAGCTACTGAAGGAAGCCCGTTATACATTCAGCATGCTTTCTGTGGGCAAATGTGAAAGAACAACAATAGATGCAAGCGTCTACAACAAACCGCAAGAGACTCGTTAGTGAAGGAGATTCGTTAATGCACAACAGTATATATGTATAAAGCAACGAGTAAATAACCCTAATGTAACGCCACACCACCGAATCTGCAACATGAATACAAGCAGACATAAGGCGTTTACTAAATCCCAAAAGAGACCCAATAAACCACACGTCACGCCACCGAATTCGCAACGCTCATACAAACAGACAAAAGACGTCTACAAGCTCTAAAATAGAACGTCGCACACATTTAAATGATGGTTGCTGGTACAGCTAATCTGTGTTAAATATTTCAAATTGCCCTCACACATACAATGCAACATGTATACACATAAATGCAAAAGTCAAGAAAATATGTATCTAATCATATACCTGCATGGACCCCGGAGAGAATGTTGTATTTACACACGTGACGTATAAAGATGCTACGCGGGTCAATAAATGAAGTTAAGTTCGAGCACGATTCATCTATGTGGGTAGAGAGGAGTCGACACGGCTCAAAACATCAAACAAATGTACAGTCGTAGCACCGACCAGGATATTTATTTTATACATTCATATTAGGCCTTCAAGATCTATAAGAAGAAAATATACTAGTAAAGGCATAAAACCGTCAACAAACCCGACTCTCTGTCAACAATTAGATAGAGTCGACAAGATTCAATAGATAATTACGAAAATGCCCACTAAATACCCGGATGGGGTCCAACGGGCGTGATGCATGAACACACGTGATGTCTGAAGATGTTGCGCAAGTCAGGAAATAAACTTAAGTTCAAGCCCGATCCTCCTATATGAGTGGATAAAACTATCAAACAAATATACGATCGCGGTGTTGACCGGGACATTTGTTTTATACGTTCATATTAGACCTTCAAGGTCTATAATAAGAAAAATTCACTAATAAAGGCCTGAAGCCCACAACAAATCTGATCCTTTATCGGTAGTAGACATAGTCGATAAGGTTCAATCAGTGAAATGAAATTGCCTATGAATACTCTGATGATGGTCGTGTTGATAGAAAATTTCAATCGGAGTGGACCCGAAATATTCAAAATATCTCCCAAATGCCCATAAAATTCAAAATTCGAGAGACATCAAAAACTACCAAAAACCAAAATACTTAAAACTGAGTCAACTATCAAAAATTTAAAGCAAAATCCAAGCTTGGGAGAATTTGATAAGTGTAAATAATGTATTATTTTATGTGTTATATTTTTAATGAAAATATATTATTTTAGTTATGTTGTGCAGGAAAAATACAAAAAAAAAATCAAATTCTAAGTATCATCCAGCATCGTGACGTCGGACAAAACAATGCCGCAGCGCCATTAAAGGCACCACCAGTGCGCTACAAACGACGACACTGACTTCTCTGATGGACAGCTTCGCAGCGTCAAAATGATCAGCTTCGCAGTGCAATGTTCACTTATTTCAAGCGTCACGGTGTCATAATCATCAATACCAAAATTTTCACTAAGGCGTTGTTGCGTTCAAAATCAGCAGCACCGTAATATAGTAGTTGTAACTTTCAATACATGATATGTCAGCGAAATGGCGTGACTGTTCACTAACTAAACGATACACGTTAGTAGGTGTCGCAATGGAGCACAAACATCAGCACAGCGGTGTAAGTTCATTTTATGAGCATTGCGGCGCCAATCTTTCAAGCGCCACAACACTAGTTGTCTAATTTGTGTGTTCCTATGAATAATCATTATGTTATATTTGTAAGAGAATTCAGACACTTGTATTAAGTACTTTTCAAAGTATTTCTTTATATCTCTGTAAGAGTAAAATCTAAGAGAGATTAGAGAAGTACTAAATACAATCATTAAAGTGTTTTAGTCAGTGTTTGTTTAAGCAACTCCATACGTTAAGGAAGTAGTGTAAAAGAGATACATTGATCCTTCTTGGTGATATCATTCTCTTGTATTTTCATTCTTCTAAGATTTTTATGAAAATGAGTTTGCTATCTTTTCTTAATTGTCTGGCTAATTCTATAAATTTGGATTGATGATGTAGAAAATATTTTAAATACTAATGAAGATTTTTGTGCTCTAAAGTTAAATGATATTTTCAATATTATCCCGCTCTTTATTTAATGCACATAATATTCATATGTGCAGTTAAAACCTGGTGTGATGTATAACCTCGAGGGATGAATGCAAGAACAACCAAAAATATTAAAATAGTATGTTTGCATACCTAAACATTGGATGTAAAATATGCTAGGTTCTTAAAGAGATGATATAATTATACGAGATCAATAGATATCATTCTCACCCTTATAAGCTTGACAGAGATCTAAAGATGCATATGCTCTAAATCACATTACAGAACATAATTTTATTAGAAAAGATATATAATTTATATTCATCAATCCAAAATATTTTATTTAAATATTATATTCATTATTTTACTATTTTTATTCAGTGATTGAATTTCCACAACTAACAATTTTATTTCAGTAGGATAATTTTGCAATTACTGTAAGCAATAATAGTTGATTGATGAAAAACATACTTCCTCGTGGGTTCGACACTCTACTTTATCACTTTATTACTTGATTTGACATATATATTTGCGTATATTAAGTGAGGTTTGTTATTTTTATATATCAAAGAAACCTTATGCATTGTTTAGGAAGATAGAGCCTTAAACATTTTTATAATTTAAAATTGCACTCCACATTAACCCCCATCAAAGTACAATTCAATAGTTATGTTTTCAAATTAAGAGTGATGAACATATAATTTTAGCTAGAGTGCGAGTGTCAAATCATAATTCCATGTCTGGAATTAGAAGGGAATATTCTCTCCTCCATCCAAAATTTCATTATAAGCAACCAAAATGGCAGTGGGCTGGTTCCCTGCAATTTCAAGATGCTTCCAGCAAATGGAGAACCATAAATCAGCCCAGAACTTACTCTCCTAGTTGAAGGATCTCTTCGAGAAGGATACCAAATAATTCCCCGCTGCACAGCCATCTACCGAACCTCTCCAAAATGGAAAACCACTAATTCCCTGCTGCAAAGCAATAATTCCCAGTTGTTAATTGGCTGAATCCAAATGGAATTCACTAAGGAAGAAATTCCAGCTCTGGAAATTTCTCCTTCTCTCCAAACTAGTTCCTTAATTTGTTTTCTCAGCTTTCCTTATGATGGAGAATAAAAATTTTGGATTCATCGTATAATTATTTATTTCTATTATTCCTTTTTACTTTTGCATGGTTTCTTTCTTTCAATCCTAGACCGTGTATTGTATATACATTCTACACTTAGTTACCACCAAAAGAAAAATAAAAATCAACCGAAAGTTAACAATCAACAGAATTGTTAACCTAATTTATACACTAGAAACTTCAAGCTATATAATAAATAAAGATATAAATATCACATGAAAAAATAGCATTTCGAATGGTTTTAAAACAAAATTTTATGCAAGATAGTCAACTAACCTCTTCTCTTTCAAGATATTGATCCTCTGCCAAAAAATCCACAGCTTCTGAGGCAAGAAAGCAACTACTGAACCTTCGCATCTTATAGAACCTATCCTTAATTACAATGGACTCTTTCATCTTTCTGATAATGGTAGCCAACTCATCAATCTTTCCACTACCAGTGGCATCATCTTCACCAGGCAATGGTGGAAAAGGAGCTGCAGATGATGGTTCATCCCTTGCAAGAATATTTATCCTTTCATCAAGCTTCCCAGCTTTATCCAAGAGCATCAGTTCATCTAAACCACCAATCAGAAACTCATTAAAGTACACCTGCGGAACTTTAGATGACCCAGTAGCTTTCTCCAACTCCAGCTTTCTGGTAGGATAGATATCAATATTAATTTCAACATACCTAAGCTTCTTCTGATGCATGAATAACCTAACCTCTCTGCATTCTTGACACCCTAGCTTTGTGTATATAATAATTCTTCCCTTCATAGTATTCTCTTCTACAATCTTTTCATCATGAACTTTTTCTACTTGTTCCAGCTTGCTTTGTATATCTGCATCTCGTCCAATCTTAATATAGTTGAGAGGATTCCATGTGGATATATCTCCAGCCTTCATTAAAACATCCTTTAGTTTAAATTCAGTGCCTGAATCTTCTTCCTCTTTAATTCCCTTAACTGCAACATCACTTTTCTCTTCCGCATCATAATGCACCACATAATCATCATCCTTCTTTCCGGAAAGGCGACGTAAAACAGTCGAAACTGCAACTGATCCCTTGTCCTTCACAAAGTTTTTAAAAGCAACAGCTTTTTCTGGCCAAGCAGATGCCTGCAAATCTGAGTCTTGTTCTGGGGATAGGCTAAAAGACCTCCTGGTTGCTTCCATTTCAAGACCCTCTGTTCCATCAAATACAGGATCCACTTCTTTCTCTTCAGGAAGAGCTTCATATTCTTCTGTTCGGTTCAGCTTACTGATATTCTCATCCTCCAAACCATTAGACACATGAGCCTGCTGCACTAATCCAGCTCCATCGTTACAGACTAAGCTTGGAATTTCTTTACTGTTTAATTCCCCTTCAACTTCTCCCTGGTAATCAAATGTCTCATTTTGGCTATTTTCAGAAGTCAATGAGCTAGCAAATTTTCCCACAAAATTTAAGGTGCCATCTCTGCTTTCATCTTGTTTTTGTTCTAAACCTGGTATGTTGGGCGCTACTTTATCATCTGTGCATTTACCTTCACTTTCCATTCTATAAAACACTGCTCCAGAAGAAAATTTCAAATCTCCTGAAACACGAAATCAAAAAAATGAGTTCCAGAGCCTACAATGAAATGACTATTAAGCTTCACGAGTAACGGCATTTTAAACTAGTTTAGCCTTGCTAAGATGATCGAGAAATCTCACGAGTACACTCGTTATGTTCTAACAGCGAATAGACTTAAAATCACATTTATATAGAAACATCAATATAAGAAAAATAAGAGGGAGAGGATGAACAAAGCCACCAGTAATGCAATGCTGTTACTCTCAACCAAAATAGTAGGACAAGAATGTGAAATGATAGATCCGGCACTTAGTGGATAGAATTCCCAATTGACTGATGCAAACATACCCCAGATCAATATGAAAACTGGAAATGCAAAAAGAAGCACTGATTCAATTACGAACAATCCCAAATAGGATCGAACCCTCAATTACTAGCAAACAAAACCCATTCGCCAATAGACGAACCATAATCCATCAATTCTCAGCCTTGGAAGCACAAAACCAAGAAAAATCGAGGAAATTTCAGCAAACCAACTCTAGCATCCACATAGACTCTATATAAGAAAAGCATCAAATAGAAATAGTACCAAGATATAAAATAATAAACTACGAAAGAATCAGCCGGATCCGCAATGGAGATAAATGAAAGAATTAATCAGTCCAAATCGTAACATTCTTATATCAGATCACTAGGGAAACCACAACGAAATCTTATACTCTATAGAGATCGACTTGAGAGATCGTTCAAAGCGTTACCAAAGAAAAAAGCGATAGCAGTTTCCGACGCCGAAGATGGAATGCCGATACAGAGGAATCAGGAATGGCAACTCAAGAAAAATGAGATCTCAGCAGGGCCCTACTTCATGTGAGATTTCACTTACGTCCCAGGAAACCACGAGGCATGGAGGGCGTAATGGCGTCCCTCTTTTGTTTTTCAAGAGTCGCGAGTTGGAACCTGGAGGTCACTTCCCGAAGTCCTTTCCATACGTCGTGTTTGACCTTCATTCGCGGAACGATGGTCTGTGGCCTTGAACCGGATCGCCTGCCTACAGACGCTGCTCGAATAATTGGATTAAGCCCGAGCCGTTACTGACCCGGAAGCAATGCTAAGGGGCTGTTTGGTAGGAATTTTTATTGCGTCCTCCCACCTGACGTAGAGATACGTCCTCTCATCACTAAAAAACTGGGTTTTTGCTCGGTATTGCTAGCTATTATTTGGTATTAATGAAGAATATCATCATGTGAAGATCAATACCGAGTTATACCGAGCTATACCGAGCAATACCGAGCTATACCGAGCAATACCGAGTTTTTTCTAGGAAAAACTAGGTATTTTTTTGTATTGATGATATTCTTCGTTAAACTATGTATATTTTTTCACATGATGATATTCTTCGTTAATACTAAATAATAGCTAGCAATACCGAGCAAAAACTGAGTTTTTTAACGGTGGGAGGATGTATCTCTACGTCAGGTGGGAGGACGCAATAAAAATTAGTTTGGTAGCACTCCGAATTTTATTTAAGTAAGATTTTATAAATTCTCTAAATAAGGATTTCAGAAATCCTTGGGGGCTTAAATGCTGAAAATTGTTTGGTATAGAGTGGATTAAATCTCATGTGATTGTTTGACTATAAAGCGAATTTAAAGAACGGGCTCTTTCCTCTCGCTCCCATAGAACCCTAAACATGTTAAGGTATTTAGGTGGATACAATCAGACAACACGACGTGTGGTGCAAATCATGTAGTCAATGCATAAATCAAGCATAATATTAATTAGTACTCATGACAGTAGCATGCAAGCATACCACTTTAATTATATTTGCCATGTGCCTGAAAATGTGCATCGTAAAGTGTGCTTTATATGAAAAAAAAAAGTCGGCTCGCACAAATACAGTTGTAAGAATAGAATTTTTTTTTATATAAGAAATTCAGGATTTTTTTTTTTTGGGAATTTAATTCAGGAAAGTAAAAATGTTACAATTCTAGAGCTGGAATTTGTGTTTTGATGATAATAAATATTGTTGGATTGTATTTAGTTTCTGATACTTTTTATTTTTCATATATTATTTTTGCAGTACTAACATTTCATCTTCAAAAAATATATATATTGTTTTTGCGGTACTAATATTTCATGTTCAACATATACTAAAAACCGGTCAAAGAATTAGGACTTAAGACTTGGTAGTATAGATTTGATTTATGCAAGAGTGTACTTTTTTTTATTTTCTTAAGTCAAGTAATATAAAAATGTATATGTTAGTTTAGCTATCGTGCACACACACACCTAGAGACTAAGATTAAATGTTTAATTTTTCGATCGTATTGGACGACTTGAATCGTACTGCACAATTTGGATCGTATTGTTTGATCTATGCAATTAGAAATTAATTAAAATATCTAATTAATTGAGAATTAATTTGAAATGAATATAACTAATTGTATCATACAACCTCTAATCATATAGGACGATCATATATTTTAAGAAATCTCGTTATTAATTAAATTAGGTAACAATTTGAATTTTATATTTTATTCAATTCGTACTATGCAAGTTCTATTTGCATTATGCGAACCTAATCGTAATGTACAAGAACAACACAACAATAACAAGCCTTTATCCCACTATGTGGGGTCGGCTACATGAATCTTTTTTCTCCATTGAGCCCTATTAAGATTCAATACAACTGTGGCGGACTAGAATATATGTGATGGTAGAGTGAAAAATATAACGGCTTAGCAATATGTGTATATCCAGCACACCAACAGATAAATTAAGAGAGAGAAAACACCAAAAACTTTTTTTATGTGGAAAACCCAAAAAGGGAAAAACCACAGGGCCTAGCCTAGATGACAAATTTCCACTATTTCTGTGTTGGATACAAAGTTTGATACACATTTACTTGGAGATGCTGAAATTATAACAGGCTAATAAGCATATAGAAATCTGGTGATGATTGACGAATCGGCCGAAATAAGGCAATGGTTGGGTAGAGCTTCAATGACGGTGCAGAAGAAAACTCCAACCGTAATCAGGAAAAGAAACTTTGGCGACAGTTAGAAAGAAAGTCTGTCGATAGTTGATAGGAACTTCGGCTGTGATTGACACGTACTCTAGCAATGGTGGGTATCCAGCGACTGTCAGCAAGAAAACTCCAGCAGTGGTCGGGAGGAACTCCAGCGGTGGTCGGGAGGAATCCCGACGGTGGTCGGCATGAACTCCGGCGGTGGTCAGCAAGAACCCTGGCGGTGGTCAGGAGGAATCCCGATGGTGGTCGGCACGAACTCCGGCAGTGTTCAGCAGGAACCTCGGCGGTGGTCGGGAGGAATCCCGGTGGTGGTTGGCACAAACTCCGGCGGTGGTCAGCAGGAATCCCAGCGGCAGTCAATGGAAAGAGAGCTCCCAAACTCCTTCCTTCCTTTCCTTCTTCTTCCCTCCTTCTCATGGGAAGAGTGTAGGCTATTTATAGTTTTTTGAAAGTGGCATGACTTGTAAATATATGGATGATCAAGGTCAAAATGGGAGTGGTTTGTATGAACGATCGATATTGGTCCCCTTGATCATGGACCGTTTATTAGTCAATTGGATGCCTTAATCATTTCATAATTCAGTGATCATGGGCTCGTTGGATTTGCCTCGTCGAGCCGCTCGATTCGACTATAGGCATGTTACATTTGGAAACCGTTTGATAATTCAAAATATGGTTTGAAACTTCAGAATGCGCTTTGGGTCTTTGATTAGGACTCATTTGGGCTCGGATTGGGTTGAATTTGGTGTTGTTGGGTTCATCTTTTTGAGACGTTCAGTTCGATTATAAGTTTGCTGAAATCGAGTTCATATTGTCTTTGATTTAATTTCGGATGCTTTCAACTCAATTTTGCTTCAATATTCGTGCTCGATTGAGATAATTTTTTTATGATATGTCAACAATAACAAAACAAAAATAACAACAAGCCTAAATAATCGGAATGTACAATGATTTTAAATATTGTCTAATTTAATCATGTAATTAATCAATTGAATATGGCTTAGTTATGGTTTAAGATTGTACAGTATGATTACAATCGTACTGTACGCTCCATAGAGATGATTTTTTGTTATCCAGGAGTTCGTCCTGAATGAACTGTGATTTGATTATATTAATCGTAATCGTACAATATGATCCTAAGATCGTACTAGAGGACCGGTGAAAATTTTTGAACTGATCGTATAATACTAAACGGGAGAATTGAACTAATCATATTGTACGATCTTTGTACAAATAAAGATGGGTAAGTTGAAAATTAGGAATTTCAGGAGGTTTACTATTCAAAAATCTCTTATTTCGTTTGAGAGAGTCTTTGAAAGTCAAGGGTAGGCGTGAGGACTATTTTAAAGTAGGCTTGAGGACTTTTTTGATAGACTGATTTATGTGAATTTTTAAGATAGTCAACAAATATTATTGAAAAAAAAAAATTTTTGAGTGAGGACTTTTTTTTTTCTGTTGAATGGAAGATCGATAGTTTGATAGTCTTGTTCATGTCGGCATTTGTATTGGAGGAATAATTTGTCTCAGAGTGGAAGGAGTGTTCATTACTTAACATATCTCTGCAAACATTGGACATATGAAAGCATATTGATCAAGTCATTTATGTGAGCTAAATAAAGTTAGGTTCATACTTAGACTTCTCTATATGTATTTATAAGTTTTTTGATATAAGCATTTTGGTAAACGAATTCAAAATATTCGTTCATACGTTCCATATTAATTCCTTTGATCGTAAAATTTTTTCGAAAAATTTGGTGTATTAATAATGTCATAATTAAGTGATTTTGGGCTCCTTAGATTCGTCTCGTTAAATTGTTGGATTCAACTATAAACATATCAAATTTGAAGATTATTTGGTCATTCAATTAATATCTGAAGTTTTCAACCACGCATCAAGTGTTTGATTTGAGCTCCGATTGGGCCATTTTTGATATCTTTGGGTTTGTCTTGTTGACACGTATTTGCCTACGAATTAAATTTAATTTTGAAAGTTTCTAACTCAGAATTTATCTCGAGATTCATGCTAGTCATGTAGTTTTTTTTTTAGAAATATTAATAAATTAATTTTTACAATTAAACCTTCAAAAACATGAAAAAAATCAAGAAAATCTATAATACTAATAATAATTTTTTACAATTTTATTTTTCTAGTGAAAAATTAAAATTACTTTTAGAAATAGTCGCAAATATCATGATTCTTAATGCTCTATATTAATGTTGCGCATGAAGCGTGTGGCAATGCAGACCTTCATAAGAATTTCGAGGTTTTTCCCCTTTATTAAACCTAGGCTTTGTTTGGGCGGTTTCTAAGTTGCTACTTAAAGTATTTTTTTAGCATTAAAAAGCTGATTTATGAAGCAAAAAAAAAACTGTCGCAAATGAAGCCTTAATTTGAGCGATAGCAACGTGACTATATCATTACAACCTAGTTTTATTAAAGTTAGTGATAATTCAGCCTCATTTTTATTGTGGATTTACTTGGGGATTCAAACTTCACTTGACAAATATTAGAGTTGAATGGTGTCTTACTCAACTTAGGCTCCGTTTGAGAATGATTTTTTACTATTTTTTGAAGCAGTTTTTTAGTACAAAAATTTTAATTTTTATACTAAAAAATTGTTTCAAAAAACAGTAAAAAATCCGTCCCAAATTAAGCCTTAATTTTATTATAGAATTGAAAATAATCATCTTGGAAGTAAGATCCATGAAATGACTAGTGGTTGTGGAGCAAATGAAAGTTTTTCTTAGGCTTTGTGTTATCTCTCACGTGGTGGGAGGAATAATAGACTCAAGGGGTGTGTGTCTTCTATAAGCAAGGGTTTGAATAAAGGGTTTTGAGCCAGGGAGAGAGAGAGAGGTGAAGAGAGGGAGAAGTGCTGTTTTTTTATGAATTCAGTTTATAGAAATCTAGTAATGTTTGCCTACATATGTTAGTTTTGTAATTTATATTTTATTTGTTGATTTGTAATC